GATGATGATGATGATGATGATGATGATGATGAACCAAAATGATTACTGTTATTATGATTCCTTACAGTTTTAAAAACTAACAAAAGCACATGGTCTTGTATTATTAAAAGCATCATAAAATAGAATTATATCATGCACAAGAATATTAATTAAAACAATAGTAGAGGATAAATAAGAGTAAAGGCTAAAAGGGCTGAAATAGGTTTTTTTTAAGAACGCCTGGGAAAAATAAGACCATTCATTATCTAGCACTTGAGAAAAAGACTACAGCCGATGGTGGACATATCTAGGGAGGAAGCCCTAAGGAGTGCCACTACTGAGAAAGCCCAACTCTAAGGACCATCCAGATCCCCTCACCTGGCAAAAGAATGTGAAGAAGGACCCTAGGCAGGACTTGAGGCTCTAAGAAGGTAGATTGGTTGTATATCCACTTTTCCAGCTACAAATATTTCAGCCGTTGCACCCATGAAACACAAGACACTATTACAGACTTGGGAGAATGCCAAAAAGCTTTTTTTAAAGAGAGAGGAGTAGAATGAAGAGGGGATTAAGCATGCTTGCTTGTCATAAAATGCTGAAGGAATCTTGAGGGCAGGAAGAATGAAAAGATATTGCTCGAATCTTTGTTTACAGAGCCCATTTGACAACCTTCCCTTTTGTGAGGAAAAAAAACTCCCCCTTTTTTTGCTAGGTTTTTATTTTATTGTTTTTAATGTTAGAGTAAATGCCTTTATGAGACCAAAGTTCAAAAGCAATAGGTAAATATTTACTCTGGGGCCTAAGTTTCAGCTTTGAAATGCAATACCTGGAATCTTAACTGACAAGGACTAGAAAAACACTTTTCTGTAGATCCTGAGGGGATAGCGTTTAATAATAAGCTATGAATCAGCCGACTTCCTGTTTCGTCAGCCCTACCTGTGGAAATGCAAATGAGTTGCTAAGAAGCCTGTTGTGCCAGATCACGTGTTGTTGCTGGTGGCTGAGATTACTTTTTCTATCTTTTTATCTTTCTTTCCTTTTTTAATGTATATATACCTATATATAAAAATCCCATTTGGCAAAGTGTGAGAATTCATGCTGCTTTCTGAGCACATGCTCACTGCTTTAGGTTTCATATATCCTGAGAATTCGGCTGTTCTTTCTTTCAGGGCAGATCTTCCACCCACCTCACCAACCCTCCCGAGTGTTTATGGAGATCACTGAGCAAGACAAAGGCAACCGAGGACACAGTTAGGTCTGATTCCGAGCCAGCTCAGGTCCTCCATGTGTGCCAGGCTCAGATTGTTGAGCTGGAGCTGTGGCTCGATCAAGTGGAAGAGTCTCTAGGATCAGAAGCCCAGATCTGTCAAATGCAGCAGTCGGTGGAGCAGCATCTAGCTGCATGCCAGGTAAGAGGAAGAACTGGCTAAACGTCACCACTGCTTTCTGTAAACCGTCAGCTTTCTTTTAAGTCATACACAGTACTTAGTGTCTCCACTGTCTTTACTCCTTGTTCTCTTTGAAATGCTCCTGCAGTTAGATGGGTTAATTTTAAGGGGCGTAGCTAGATTACTTTCCCAATGCTCTTGACTCAACCAATCTCTGCTAACGTGGACAGGCACTATAAGACAAAACAATCTCAGTCTTATTTCCCAGGAATGGGCAGAATACAGACTGGGCTCTATTGGTCTGATATTTTATAGCTGATCAGCAAGTGTTTTTCCAGTTCCCAATTATTTAGCAATAGCAGCAACAATATATTTCCCATCTAAAATGAGCTATGAGGTAAATAGGTTTAGGATTAATCTGGATTGTAAACTCAGTTCAGTGCTAATTATGAAAACTAACTCCTACACAAATATTCTGGAGGCAGTGTGATATGTTTTGTTAAACACATTTTGGCTGCTGCTTCTATGTCTCTCAGGCTCAAAAGTGCTAAAACTCCAATACCATGCAGATACAATAAGAAGTTGTGACCTAATTAGAAAACACTGACCTTGTTGCCCTCTTATTATGAGAACTCAATGCAATGTCTACTTATAAGGGTATGAAGTCAATAATTCAGCAACCTGGTATTCCAGTTAGCACTCTTAAAAAGCACTGACAAGATTCTACTCAGCATTACCATAAAGATTAATTTTAAACTTCATGGACAGTGTCCAATGAAATATCATAACTTTAATCAAGTTTCTAGTCCTTATTGTGATGAAGGTGAATAAACTACATCAGAATCAGAATATAGCTGGAAGGGACCTTGGAGGTCTTCTAGTCCAGCCCCCTGCCCAAGCAGGAAACCCTATATCATTTCAGACACGTGGCTGTCCAATCTCTTCTTAAAAACCTCTAGTAATGAAGCACCCACAACATTTGAAGGAAAGCTGTTCCACTGGTTAATTGTTCTTATTGTTAGGAAGTTTCAGCAGCCTCTCAAATACTGGAATCATGTCTATTGGAATCATGTCTCCCCGTAGTCCTTCTTTTCTCTAGACTGGCCATTCCCAAATCCTGCAACCGTTCTTCATATGTTTTAGTCTCCAGGCCTTTAATCATCTTAGTTGCTCTTCTTTGCACTTTTTAAACAAAGTCTCAACATCTTTTTTGTAATGTGGTGATCAAAACTGGATGGAGTATTCCAGATGTGGCCTTACTAAGGCTTTATAAAGCGGTACTAATACTTCATGTGATTTTGATTCTATGCCTCTGTTTATACAACCAAGGATTGTATTATCTTTTTTGGCTGCTGCCATACATGGCTGGGTCATGTTTAAGTGATCGTCCACTAGGACTCCAAGGTCCCTCTCACAGTACCTTTAGTTTTTCCTGCCCAGGTGTAAAACCTTGCTTTTCTCCACATTAAATATCATTTTGTTGGATAGGGCCCATTGTTCAAGTCTGTCAAGACCTTTTTGGATTCTTAGCTTGTCTTCTGGGGCATTAGCTATTCCTGCCAGCTTAGTGTCATCTGCAAATTTGATGAGTTCCCCTTCCATTCCCTCATCTAAGTCATTTATGAAGATATTGAAGAGTACTGGGCCTAAGATGGAACCTTGTAGTACCCCACTGCTTACTTCCCTCCATGTGGATGTAGTACTATTAAGGCTTTCATTTGATTTAGTACATGAAAGTATCAAATGAAAAATCCTAGACTGTTTTCAGGACAAGAGTCCACTATCTGATGATTGGACTGTCCTCCAAGCTAGGAGAAATTTCCAGGCATAAATACCTTAGTAGATATTTGAAGCCTGTCACATTTCAAAGAAGTAGATAGAAGGGTGTTTGTGCTTAACTTCTTTTGTTTATAATTTTTAAAGCACAAAACAAAAGTATAACTTCATTGAGAAATTAAATGAAAATGTCAAACATTGTTATTTCTTTTGTGGAGTTAATGGATGCCAGTTTTCTCAGAAATACTAGGCATGAGGGTTTTTGTGGATTTTTTTAAAGTACAGTTTAAGAAGATGATTGAAAGTATTGCTAAACTTTCTATTGTTTCTGAGCAATTTTCTGCAAACAGAATGTTTCAGAACAAATTATTTACAAATGTACTTATAGCAAATTATGTATAATAGGGCTTTTGTACTAAATCTTACCAAAGTGACTTTTGAAGTAGATGGGAAGAGAACTGAAACAAGAATCTTTATCATTCATGAACAATATTTGGAGGAGTAGTGTTAAACAATTTGGATTTTAATGTTTTTGTATGGACCCCAGAACAACCTGCACAGGTCTCTTTATCTCATCTTTTATTAGATAAGCAAAATATGTGGTATCTCTTGTGATGAGTAAGGTACAGTATGGCAAAATCCACTAAAAAGGAACACTTCTTGCTATAGCCTGCCTTTTAAAGATACTCAGTGAAAATAGTAAGGGCTCTATAAAAAAAAGCTAATAATTATGAGCCTGTATTCAATTCACCTCTGCCTTTGAACCCTGTTTTTAGATATCCCAAATTATTACAGCAATACACTGCATGGATTCAGAGAAGCTTTCGTGCTCCTGAATCACTTGTCCCCATGGCTGAGCATGTCAAAGGAAAGGAATCTTTTTCTCTATTGCTTGGTGATTTTGAAAATGTTTTTCATGGATAATGAGTATTGCTGCTGCCCTTATTTTCCCCCATGTGCTTTCCACAGTTCTCCTTTAAACTTGGTTTCCAGGCCTCATGCTTTCCCATTAGTCCAACTGAACAATTTCCGGTGTGTCCTTAACACGGAATTCTGTTCCTATTAGCCAACCCAATGTGGTCGCTCTGTGTGGTACCTTTTTTCTCTTTCACATGTGTCCCTATTGTCAATCTTTCAAGCAGCAAGTTTATGAAATGAGGGTTAGGGTGATGTTACTCTATGAAGAGTCCTGTCTGTGGTTCAAAATCATTAAGGAAACAACCACCACCCAGAAAGTTAACAGTACAGTCAAACAATGCAGTGAAAATGTTTCAAGTCCATTAGTGCTCTTGATCAGAATATGTTTTTAGTCCTGGGTCCTGCTCACCTTCAACACGCCTCTTCTAAATAGAATTTGCCTAGGGCAGGAGTAGGCAGCCTCGGCTCTTTTATGACTCATGGACTTCAACTCCCAGAATTCCTGAGTCAGCTATGCTGACTCAGGAATTCTGGGAGTTGAAGTCCATGAGTCATAAAAGAGCCGAGGTTGCCTACCCCTGGCCTAGGGCAGTGTTTCTCAACCTTAGCAACTTTAATATATGTGGATTTCAACTCCTGGAATTCCCCAGCCAGCCATTCTAGCTGGAGAATTCTGGGAGTTGAAGTCCAACATCTGAAAGTTGCCAAGTTTGAGAAATGCTGGCCTGGAAAATGTGTATGCTGAAAGTCTCCCAGGTCAAGGAGAAGGATGGTGGGAAGGATCAGAGGAGAACATTCTCCCCCAGGGAGCCCCTTGAATGAAAGAGCTGGCTCGAGCAGCAAGATTGGTCCTTTCCTAGTGATTTTTCAGAAACTTAAGACCAGGCTTTTCTAAAGAGTTGTTGGAGATCGAAGTGTGGGAATACTTGCCGTGGATAGAAAGAGTGTGCTCTGGGTTCACTATGGTATTATAATATGTCCTGCAGTGTTACTTGTTTGATCTTTATTACCTCTTTGGCTTTTTAAGATGATAAAAGTCAACCAGATTGATGCAGCATAACAGCTGCAATGATACATAAATATGTGGAAAGGGAAAGTCAGAACTAGAAGAAAATCATCTCAGGTGGACATTTACAGAATACGTATACAGTAGGATGGAATTGGCACACAAATATCACTATATGAGGCCGGCCTTCAGATTTCTGGGACCTGTGGCTCTTTTCACTTTCTATTAGAAAAATGAGGTCCACAATATATGTAATAAAAAAGACAGTTCCCCTGAATGTATGCTTAACTGAGAATTTTGTGAAAAATACATGAAATACATAAATTTCTACTCTTGATTCCTTTATCCCCCACATCTTCACAAGCCAGGAGGGGGGGGCAGGAAAGGGGGTCACTTTTAGATGGGCCTTCCCAGGCATTGGAGCTATCAGCCTTTAAGCTTTAGGACCTTTAGTAAATAAATGTTTTGTGAATGATTAACTGCTTGACTTCCTCAGGTGATGTTAACAGAAATTGAACAGAAAGTCATGTGGTTACTGGAGGAGTGCAAAGGCACGTCCACTGGCAATAGCTCAGGCCTCGAACAAGAAACAGAGAACCTTTCCTTGAACCTTAAAAACGTGAAGTGCAAGTTGGAAAAGGTCCAGCGCATGCTCCAAGACAAATACACAGAAGAACAGGTAAACTGAAACGTCAAGAAACTGGAAGAGTCATTATTATGCTGCCTGACTGCCAACAATTCTTGCTGCTTTTGCAGAAAGCAAACATCCCCAGCCTGCTGCACTTTATTTATGTGGATTTCAGATTCCTAGAATTCTCTGCATGTGGGAATTCTGATAACTGAAGCCCACTTAACTGGAAAGCATGTAGCTTGGAGACAACTGGTGGAAAGGATGTGTATATGTGAATACCCTGCATATTAATGATGAATACAGGTAATTCCAGCCTTCTGAAACTTGGAGCCTTGTATGCATCTACTCTGGGATCACAGTTCCCTGAATTCCCAACAGATTTACAGGGCCCGAGATTGGGAAGGGCTCGCCTGTGGGGATGCGTGCGTTACAATTACTTGCCTCCTCAGCTCTACTTAATATTATGTCTATTGGTCAGAAAATCATGCTTTGTTATTTTGCTGAGAAGTGTTTTTTTCTAAAGAAAAAAGAAAAGAAATCCATTCCTAGGTATGTAGATGGGGAAAACATAACAGTTGCCTTTCTTGAACAACCTCAGGCACATCAATAACAAAATAGCTCATTGTCAGTAGCAATCCTTTCCTGTATTGTGATTCTTTCCCTCTAGTTTGTTTCTAGTATGTGGCATCCAAAGGTAAACCATCTCTCGGTATACAGATGGGTTAGATAACATTCACAAAGTTTACAATATTGCAAAAGTTTGCAACATTGAATATTTTAGTTACATATTTGTTTTTAACAATTTCTATAGCCATTCATCTAAACAGTGATTTTGGGTGATGAATAATCTTAAGATCAATTAAAACCAGTACAAACATTATAAACACATTCATTCATTCATTTTCTCCAGATGTTTTATTTTCCCCCAGATCTTCCCTTTTCTGTTGCTGGTATTGTTTTGTCAGCATAAGGATCTACATTCTCATAATTATTTTGCTAATCATTAAGAAAAATCACAATAATTCCAGCTGTTTAAAAGCAGCTTCAGACTGGCTTATATGTATGGTACAGATGTATTCTGACTGAAAAAAAGGCCTTTTTTTAATAAGGAACAATAACGCTGAGTCAGAGAGAGTATAAATGGAATATTAGCTCTCTGCCATTGGGGCTACCTCCCTGGTTCCTTATGATTGTCTGTTCATAAGTGCCCATAATTGGACTTAGTTCTCTGCCAAAAAATAAAATAAATCCTTGTGCTTAGAGATGACATGGCCTTGGTGATAATGTATTTGGGGCAAGAATAGCAACAATTATTAAAACTGTTTTGAAAACCATTTTTGAAAAGCTGCATGAAAGTCCTCTGGGATTGCTTCATGCAGAGTCTCCTTTGCTCCTGGGGGAATGAGAAAAGAGAAGGAGAGAACTTGGTTGCAGCAGCAGGGATGAAAAAAATGAGCATTGTCGACTGTGATAATGAAACTGAAGTATCTTCACATGGCCTCCAAGCCACCTCAAAAGAAGAAAGTTGATAATGATGAATAAAAAGATTATTTCACTTTTCTGTCATCACTATAGGCTGCCAGAGAGTTCCAGATTTGATTTAAAATAGTTGCTCAACCTTATTTGTGTACATAATAAAGTCAGGCTCAAGCATAGTCCACAGTGGTGGACATGTCTGGCAGGAAGAAGGTCCCAGATTCAATTCATGTATTTCCAGAAAGAGAAAAGTCCTGCCTGAAACTCTTGAGAATTCCTGTCAGTCACTGCCAACAGCATTGGACTCAGTAGATCAGAACTCTGACTCAATCTATGGCAGCTTCCTGCAATTCTAACATACTGTGTACAACCAGATTTGGTGGATAACATGAATACAAGGATAGAAATTTAAAGGAGAGAAGCCGTGGGTAGTAAGCAGCATGAAGTCCCTTCCTCAGTAGTTGCTTTTTGCCTGTTATCCTTTCCCTACTATCCATCTGTCTATCTTGGCCAGCCTTCTTGCCATTCTGAGAGGAAAGTGACAGGAGTAGAAAAGCTACAGGGAGAAGTAGCAAGATGAGGAATGACTGAGAACCTCCTGCTTCTGTTTCCTAGTCTTTTCTGGTCATTCTTTCTGTGCATATTTTCATCAGAGAAAGATTCTTACATGTGTATTTTTGCTCTGACGCTTCTACTTGGTTAAAAAAGTAGCATAAGGAAATATAAAGTACATGCATGTTCTCTTTATATTTATATTTTTCTAAAAAAAATGGTACTCTTTCTCTTTAAAGATGAGCACTACTGAAAAGAGCTCTGTCAACTTCCCACAGCCACTTCATTTGGATTCCTCTAATTCGTTTCCAAATGTGACCTCAGAGAGATCTCCAAATGGTTTTCAGCATCAACAGGTAATTTTTCCTTTACTTATTTATTTATTAAATTTATATGCCATCCATCTCACTGTCCAAGGCCTTTTGTTTTGTTTATTTGTTTGTTTGTTTATGAGAACTTATATGGCAGTCCACTCACTCTCAGTGACTCTGGGCAGCTTACAAAAAAATAAAAACCCAATATACAAACAGAAAAAACAACAGCGACAAAATCAGATAAGCAACTTGATGGGCTCCATCCCACTCTAGGTTTCTGTGGCTGTTGGCAAAGAGTGTCATAGTGGGGGCCAATCTAATCTCCACTGGGCTGATGTTCCAAAAGAGGGAGCCACAACAGAGAAGGCTCTTCTTCTGATTCCTGTCAGATATATCTCCTTAGAATAGGGGACCCACAACATTCCCTTCAGGTAACCTGGTCCCAAATCAGGTAGAGCTTTAATGGTAACCACCAGGATCTTGAATTGTACTCGGAAGCAAATCAACAGCCAATGCAGCTCCCGCAGGAGAGATAACACATGTGCATATCTGGTTCTGACAAAACGATGTGGGCTGCTGCATTTGGAACCAACAGGAGCAGGGGTCTTTAAACTTGGCCCTTTTATGACTTGTGGATTTCTACTCCCAGAATTCCTCAGCTAGCGTGCCTGGCTGAGGAATTCTGGGAGTTGAAATCCTCAAGTCATAAAAGGGCCAAGTTTGAAGACCCTTGAACTGGAGCTTCTGAATACTTTTCAAAGGCAGCCCCAGGCAGCCCCATGTAGAGCGCGTTGCAAGATGGGAGGTGATTAGGGCGTGACTGACTGTGAGCAGGAAAGGGTGTAACTGATGCACAATGAACTGATGCGCAAAGTTCCTCCTGGCCACAATTGCCATCTGCACCTTGTATCCAGGAGAACCCCCAGATTATGCACTGGGTCTTTCTGGGCCAGTGCCATCCCATCCAAGACCAAAGATGGCAATTTTCCATGGACCAAAGAACCCCAAATCCATTTCTGATAGAACAGCCTGTTCACTATATCTGGTCCTCTAGCAATTGATTTCTGGCTCATGGATGGTCAAAATCTTAGGTATCTTTTAACCTTGCAAAGGATTGTTTTCACTCCTTAACTTCACTGTCCCAACTCCACCAAAATGCAAGTCTGACGATAGTGATTCTGCGAATTCTGGGGAAATCAGCCTTAGGCAGAACACAAAAGCAAGATGCAGATTACACACTGAAAAATAGCTTTCTCTAGCGTGTGAATTATTGTGGGCTAAGTAAAGCTGTGCCTGAAAATATCAGAAAAAATTATTACTTGTGGTTTAGTAGGGATAGAGATAATACATTCATCATTGTGCTTGTTGATTTCTCAGTGGCTTTTCATACTATCAGTCACTGTGCCCCTCTGGACACACTCAAGGGATTGGGAGCCAGTAGACCATTTTATGATGGTTCCATTCCTTCCTTTAGGACTGCTTCTAGTCAATATTGGCTGGTAGGGAGAGGGCCCTTCGTAGGCCCTCTGTGGGGTATCGCAGGGCTTAATAAACTCTCTTGCCTTGTTTAACAACATGCTAGGAGAGGTATCGTCTCTGATTCAATCCTACCAGAGTGGCTGAGAGTATTTGAACCACCCAAATCTGAGGATAGTTCATGTTTGACCTTGGATGAGGTGGCACTTTCCTATTCAAGGGTGGTGCACAATTTGGGTTCTTCCTGGACTCACAGCTCCTGCTTAATGAGCACCTGGCTGCTGTGGCCAGGAAAGTATTTGTACAGCTTCATCTGGTGTGCCAGTTATATCCTTTCCTAGACCTGGGGGCCCTTCAGACAGTCACTCATTCCCTAGTCACAGCTTCACTATTGCAATGCTTTGTATATGAGGCTGCTCTTGAAAACTACTTGGCTGTGTTGTTGTTGTTGTTAGTTAGACTCATTATTTGTTTGTGTTCCTTATTTCTTTTGTCTTTATAACTTTATTAAATTGTGTTTTTTATTATTGCTTGGTTTTATTAGTCAGTCTGAAGTTGGGCAGTGCCTGAACTGAACAAATTGAAATTGAATACGTTGTTAATGTTTTGTAAAGCTTAAGTTTAAAAAGTTAATAAGAACAGAGAGGCTACTGTATTAGCCTTCCTAAATGCTAGCCTTTTTATTGAAGAATTGGGGAAACCAAAGAGTTTTTTTCCTGGGTTTCCTTGAAGATGAAGATTCAGTAATTTCTTTCCAATTATCCTAGTTTGGCTCTCTTCCTTGAAAAAGGCACTAGCCTCCTTATGAGCATTGTTTTTCTCTTTTTTCTCTTTTTTTAAGCAGATGAATATTGCGTGATGGAAGTGAAATGTAAATGTCTCTCTTTATTTTCTATTTTTGCTCTTGCAAAGACCTCACACAAAAGCCTGTTGGTTGTGGACTTCAACTATATTGAATTTATTTTGTACTTCAAGCCAACATTCAGGGAGAAGGAATTGTCCTATTGTCTTTTATGATCTAACCTCTGGTCCCTGGCACAGCACCTTAAAAGCAAGCCAGCTACAACAGGCTCAAGAATACTACAAATTGGGTGGTGGGCAGAAGGCAGATTTTAACCAGGCAATATGTTTGTTTAACACTGGTTATCTCATAGGATAAAACTAGCCATCTGATAAAACAGAAGCTTAAATTGGTTGCTGAACTGAGGAAGTACTGCACAACTAGATGTTTTAACTGTCTTACTGATATATGTGTATTATATTTTGTAAGCCACCTAGAGTCTTCTAAGATAGACAGCCATACCAAAATGAATAAATTTAATTACATAATGTGGTGGGATTAATCCTCTAAGGCAGGGGTGTCAAACTGGCCGCCCATGGGCCAGATGCATCACGCGCACCCCAGCTCCGCAAAGGCAAAAAAAAAATCACGATATGTCACGGTACATTACGAGAAGCGATCGAGTTTGACACGCATGCTCTAGGGCCACCTGCTTTCCTTAGCTCTTCTGGGATGAAATAAGAAAGCCTCACTTTCAGTTTCTTGCAATTTGGTCTTCTGAATGTTGATGTCAGAAAAGCCATAAATAATAAATCAACATCTGAATTTGCAGTTTCCCAATTTGATTCCTGGAGCATCTGGCAATTGTATGATGAAATGGTATAAAGCATATTTGTTGGCAAACTCCTACTTCTTGCATTTCAGTTTTCCTAAGTTTCTTTTTATTTCTCCTGAAGGAACTGCTGCTAAAGCTGTCTGAGCAAAACAATCTCATTGACTTCCTAGAAGTGTACATGGAGAAAATCCAGCCTCACCCTAGGTCCAATACAGTTCTGGAACTACAAACAAGGTATAGTTGACAGCACCTAGCCCCTTTGGCTAATCTCAAAAACGAAGCATGATTGGACCTTGTTAATAGTTGAATAGGAGACTATTAGGGAATCCCAAGTCTGCAGACAAAATTAAAAAGTTTAAAAATATCTTGCAAGAAGGCACTGCCTTCCATCCTATTGCCGAGAAAATATCATGGTCATGTCCAAGTAATCACCATAGGCAAGCTCAATTCAAGTGAATCAAATATAATATAGAGCAGAATGGGTTGAAAGAGGAGATAGTCAAAACTTTTTTTTTTACTTTTTATCTCTTCATTATTACAAAGATAAGTAACCAACTATCCTCCAGATAATTTGGATTTCAATTCCCATTAGACCTAACCAGTGTAGCCATTGATAAAGGGCTGAAAGAATTTTACTCCAAAATATCTGGAGGAGCCAAAGTGTCTATCCTGCATTTAATAAACTTATATTAGAATCATAATGGCTTCTGCTCAAAGCAGCATCTGCTACTTTCTTTTTTCCCCAACTACAGTAATAAACTGACAGCCTATGTAATAGCATAATTTATCATAATATAATCTTGGCATATTGCTGGGAAAATGGTGGGAACCTGAAATTACAGTTTTCAGTGGCAATCATATAAGCCCCATTTCTTCATTTCATCTCTATATCTGTATTAGAAGCAGGATGCTGGTATAATTATGTCTTTGGTGTGATCCTGGATTTATGTTCTGCACATTCTTATATTGCCTTTGCTTCACTATATTTGTGTATTCATAATGGGGATATTCAGGAATGAGACAGTCAGCTCAGGAAATGAGCCTCTTGGATTGACTCCAAAGGACCAAACGGGTGATAAGTGGCAATACTTACAAGAAGAACTGCTACTCAAGAAGAATGCTCCTCACTGTCAATTGGAAGAACTTCAGGTTAGTATATAACCTTTATTCTTACTCTCTTGCAGGTCAAAAATATACAAAGCACCACATAAGCATCTTCAGGTGTTAAATGCAAATGTAAGGAAGCCATACAGGTATTGTCCCATATGGCAACAATATATGTGGCAACCACAATCCATGTACTACAGCATACTTTTTATGACTGCAACCGATGCCAGAGTTTCTATTGTCAGAAGAGTAAAGCCTGCTGCTTGAGTGGATCCACCATTCCAGAATATGACAATAATCTAGCTTTAAATTATACTTGTTTTTATTTTTTATTTTTTTGAAATAACATTAGACTGTAATCTTGACTTATGACCACAGTTGGGGACCAGAATTGCTGTTGCTAAGCACCTACAGTTGTTAAGTGAATCATTCTTGATTTTATGACTTGTTTTGCCACAATTATTAAAAGAATGACTGCAGTTGTTAAGTGAATCACATGGTTGCTAAGCAAATCCAGCTTTCCCCGTTGATTTTGTTTGTTGGAAACCGGCTGGGAAAGTCACAAATGATGATCACATGATCCCTGGATGCTGCGACTAAATACATATCAAGGGTCCAAAATTTGAGCATGTGAGAGCAGGACATACGTCAGGTCAGGTCAGGTCATACATCACTTTTTAAAGTGCCATTATAACTTCAAATGGTCACTAAACAAATGGTTGAGGACTACCTGTGTGTGTGTGTGTGTGTAGAAATCCGATACTACTTGTATATCACCATGGGTTTAACCTGACGCACTCATCTAAACATGTTTTGTTTTTCCAAATATTAGATATCTACCAAAATAAACATTCTGCCCCTGGGTGCTACATCAAGTGTGAGAACTCCAACTATTGAGGAGCTAAAAACATACACAGCGCAGCTTGACAACCTAAGCCAGGAAGCTTCTACTCAAATACAGGTACTAAAGGCATTTCTCTGAGTTAAATAAGTAGCCACCAGGGTGGTTGAATAGGATTCCAGTTTTGGCGTCATGAAATATCTACTCTCAATCCAGTTAAAAGTAAAGTCTTTCCTTGTCCAGTCATGTCCAACTCTAGGGGGGCAGTGCTCATCTCTGTTTCCTAGCCGAGGGAGCCACCCCCATAAAATGACTGTATCATAAAGCAATTTGGAATAAGCACTCAATATTTTCCAGACTCGTAACTTTGTTCTTAAAAATGGTTCTGTTCTGCATATGTTTGCAGTGTAAATATTAAACAATGGACTTCAGGCCAGGATTTTGGAAAGTTCAATTTCTCGTGTAAGGGTGAAAAGTTTTGGATGTAATAATATGACTGCTTTTACATAACTATGAATATAATACAGATTCCATGTCCCTGTACATCAGATCCTCCCAGAGATCACTTTCAAGTTACTTGTAATGGCCAACATAGAGGGCTTTTCTTTACATCTTCACATTTTTGATTATCAGTTAATGCAGGCAGCACTGAGATAGAAGGACAAATGATCAATCTAACTTGCCATAAGCTTCTTCCTGTTTTCTTAATGGATAGAAATAATAAGCCACAGATATATCTTCTGCAATATCAGCATAAATATATTTACACTGGTTCATACGCTTCATCCAAATAAACAGGAAGACCATGAGAGGGAATTGAAAATATGTATTTTCCCATTTTCTAGGAAAACGAAACAGGAGAAAATGCATTCAGTCTGGATGGGAAACTCTTTGAGTTGTTTCTGGCAATCAGCCGCTGCCTGAACAATATGGAGCAGATGTTGGGCACCTGTGTACTCTCCAGTGAAGAAGCTCCTGTACAGCAAGTGCTTTATGAGGTCAGTACAAATGGAAAAATCGAAGATTTCTTGAGGTCCAAAGCATTGTATGTTTTATATTTATATTTTTGCATATGATGGCATTACATGTAGATGTTTCCTGAGAATGCTAGCATTTATTTATTATTGGCAGCTTTAAAATCTTGGACTTCAACAGCCAGAATTCCCTAACTAGCCATGCTGGCTGGGAAATTCTGAAGTTGAAGTCCACAAATCTTAAACCAGGGGTAGTCAACCTTGGCTCTTTTATGACTCGTGGACTTCAATTCCCAGAATTCCTGAGCCAGCTTAGCTGGCTCAGGAATTCTGGGAGTTGAAGTCCACGAGTCATAAAAGAGCCAAGGTTGACTACCCCTGATCTTAAACTTACGAAGTTGGATATTTAAAAAAAGGAAATGCAAATGTTTAGCCACTAAAATTGTACAGATATGATTTAAAAATTGGAGAACATCTCAGAAAATCTCAGAAGTTTAAAATGGGGATCAGTTTTCATTTTAATACCATCTAATTTATACTTATTGAACTAACAGGATTGGATTGAAATATAATTACTCTTCCAATTATGCATTTCTTTGAATTTGTTGATACAGTTCTTGGCTCATGAAGCAGTGGGTGAGAAGCAGCAATTTTTCTTGGTTTCCTCCATAGCCATCTGCTCAGATCGACTCCCAAGTATTGGAATGAATGTGAGGAAGTGTACATTTCTTTCCAAACAAAAGTGGACACCCGCACTTTGGGGGGTCTTTGCTGCTGCTTTCATGGGCCATGGGGAGTATGCAAATGACACAATTGTATTTTCAGAGGATATCAAGAAATTCTTCATGTTTTGGGTTGTGGCGATAAGGTTTTCTATTTTATAATAGTTTAAGCCTAGCAAAGGTTTAATGCACATGGTTTAGGACTTTTATGATACTGAAAATCTGTCAGTTGACCTGGATTATCTACCCCAGCTTCACAGCATGCAAAATTATTGTAGTATCTGAACTACAATAGATTTATACAATTTTAGTTCCATTTACATGTTCCTCCTTGTTTTCAAAGGGCAAAAAAGTAGGAGATAAACACCAAAAAATTTGACTAGTTGTTTTTTCTATTTCAAGCAGAAAATGCTCAAGCAGCTAATAGAATTTACAAACAAAAATCCAGTATAGAAAGTTAAAAACACATTAACTGCAAATTGATACTAAATATGTTTAGTATCTTGAAATCCTAGTGAAAGAAATGCATCATTCTAAATGTTGAACACAATTTTTGAAGGAATGTATTCTATAGCTAAGGAACAGTGCAGGAGAAGGCCATTTCCTGTTTCAGAAAAATGAGTTTCTAACTATTAAGGTACATACAAAAGAGCTACCCTTGTGTATATTAACAACCATACAGTTTATAACAATTGCTCTATTAGATATCAAACTCAGCTACTGAGGACTTTAATGTATACACCACTACCTTAAACTTTACCTGGTCAACATCTGGCAATCAGTGCAGCTCTTTCAATATAGACACTATATTATCCCTAGTAGCCTATTTGCAACTTCAAGAACATGTCAAAGATGTCCAAGGAGAACACCATGGAATATTTTCTCAAGAGGGTGAGAGATATATGAAAGTCTCATGCTGATATTGAAACTTCTCCTTGAAAGAAACTAATTAATGTTGATAGTTTTTACAAAAACCTTATTTACTTGCCTATCTTACCTAGAATCTGTTTCAGACTCTCTCTGCAGAACTACAGAAGCTTTACACAGATATTGGTGATAAAAAGGACGATCTTCTGAAGTCCATCACCTCTGCGGGTGGAAATTCTGAGAGATTCTCCCAGTGTTTTAGTAACTTACAAGCATGGCTCCAATTGACCCAAACAGCTGCTGCTTCTAGAAGCGAGTCTATGAAAACTGAAATGGACCATTACATCAATTATCAGGTATCACAGGGTTAAGTTTTCATTTCAGTCTTTAAAATCTATTAAAGTGGGTGCTCACCCAAAAAACATGCTTCATCCTTTTCCAATTGAAATGCTAGTGATCTCATATCAATTCACATGTGATCAAATTTACAGAAAACTCCAATCTCTAGCCTCCAATTATTACATAGAGTTTTACAACCTAGATATAGTAGTCCTGTTTTACAGTCCTAGGCATAACCTTTGTATTGTATTCTTGCAATGGACATCCCACAAGAGCACAATTTCCTACATATGCATTCAGGTATATGCACTACTCACATAAAGCTTCTACCCACAAAGAAGCTTATCTGAGATAAGACCCATGCTTGGAAACTTTACAGATGATTTAATCTTTGATCTCCATAATGAGAAGCAATTTATGATTACAAAACTGAAATACACTGAGAGTGTAATTCTAATACTCTCCATTTATTTAAAAAAAATCTCTCTTTTTCTCCCCCTCTCCAAATGAATATACATAAAGAATGATACTGATTAAACAAGCCATTTGAATTGCAGTTTCATTATCTCTTAATTTTGCATAATGCATTTCTGGATTTACATTGAATTTTTTGTTTCTTGTCACAGAATGAAATCAGGCACTTGTATGATGCATTGATTGAGAAAAAATCCTCATTGCAGCAGTTTTTCAGTGAAATGAGTGGGCACAATATTTCTAAGCAATTTCAGGTAATTAAATGAGACACGAAAATCAGGTGTAATTGAGTACCCAGCATTTTAACTAAATTATTTTATTTTGCTTTTGATTTCCCCCAAATCAAATATTGTTTCTAACTGTGAATTATTTGTATATTTATTTATTACTAAATGTTTGTCTTACTTCTGTCAGTAATCTTTAATGATGCTAATTAATGTTATTTACAGCTAACTGATTTGCTAGTTTATAACACATTTCCATTATGCTTACGGCATTGCTGAAGACATCTAATTGGATATTAGATAGTCTATTAAGTAAAATATGTCATATTAACTTGGTACTTGGCTTTTTAAGTTTTTAAATTTGGATTTAAGGTGCTACATTTGTAAAAAAAAATTGTTGAGCAATCTTAAAATGTCAGTGAATGCTAAAATCCTCAGCCCTAAAAAGTTACCTATTGCCCTGTGTTACACTGCCAGGGCCTATGGTATCCTGATGAAGGTATAATTGCTTATTTACCGTAGCTTTCCCACTATTAATGTATGCTGACATAGAATCAGATCATGCATATAATATCTTCTTTCTTTAGAATTTCCAGTAAAATATATCTAAAACTTAATCTTACATTATTATTTTCTGCATTTGCCTGCCATCCCTTCTATATTATTTACTACCTTCTGGTAAAATACAGAAGCATTATTATCAGGGTATATGCAACTTGTATTTCATGTTACAGAAGAGAAAAGGAATCTAATGTCATTTTTTTTCCTATGCTGTAAAATCTAGTTTACCCCAAATTTTCATTAGAACGATAAAGAGATCTCAAGTTTTTAAGCTACAATTGACAGTTTCTGATAATCAGGTCAGATGATTAGTGCCAATAAGATTATAGTCATGAGAAGGATGATCTAAGCGTTCTTGGAGGTATTGCAAAGTCTGCAGAAGTGCAAAAAATTAAGGGAAAACCCTAAGTGGCCATTAATTTATCTCCCACCCAACAATTCACAGAAAACAGTACATTCATTGGTGACAAAATGTTGTGATTGTTGGAAGAATAAACTTGACTATTTTAGAAGAGAACACAATTAGCTACAATGTCAAATAACTGCATTCGGTACTGCAACACTTCTTTGCAGTACATGAAGAGTAATGAAGAGAAGGACGAGGGGGGACATGATAGCAGTGTTCCAATATCTCAGGGGCTGCCACAAAGAAGAGGGAGTCAAGCTATTTTCCAAGGCGCCTGAAGGCAGGACAAGAAGCAACAGATGGAAACTAATCAAGGAGAGAAGCAACCTAGAACTAAGGAGAAATTTCCTGACAGTTAGAACAATTAACCAGTGGAACAACCTGCCTCCAGAAGCGGTGAATGCTCCAACACTGGAGGTTTTTAAGAAGAGACTGGACAGCCATTTGTCCGAAATGGTATAGGGTTTTCTGCCTGAGCAGGGGGTTGGACTAGATGACCTCCAAAGTCCCTTCCAACTTTACTACTACTACTACTACTACTACTACTACTACTACTACTACTACTACTATTATTATTATTATTGTCTCATTTGTAAATCATTATTATAATGTTCCATGAGATAAACAAATCCTAACTCCAATTATGCCAATTTGTTTAGAATGTACATTTTTTTAGTTAGACCGGTCCCTTTTTCTATTTAACAAGTGGTTTTATTCTGTTATTTTATAAATATAATTATGAAAATTGTCAGATCTTTCCTCTGCCTCAGAAATATCAATATTATTAAAAAGACTAGCCTAATTCTGAATCATTTCATATCTCATTCAGCAGGCAGATGTCTTTGAATTGGAACTGCAGAATTTTGAGACACAGGCAGCTAAACTAAGAGATCATGGAGAAAGAGTTCATTTGCCAGTTGCCATAACCCATGATGTGTACAAACTAGAGGTAAACATGCTGAATGGATGGAATAGATGAAAACTAGTCAAGGAGCGAAGCAACCTAGAACTAAGGAGAAATTTCCTGACAGTTAGAACAATTAATCAATGGAACAACTTGCCTCCAGAAGTTGTGAATGCTTCAACACTAGGAGCTTTTAAGAAGAGATTGGACAACCATTTGTTTGAAATGGTATAGGATTTCCTGCCTGAACAGGGGGTTGGACTAGAAGACCTCCAAGGTCCCTTCCAACTCTGTTATTCTGAATAACAAATGGATATACAAACTGAACAAAATGAAATGTAACTCATCTCAGCATTTTGAGATTGAGGTTTAATTGGGGGGAAAGACAAGGGCATCAAATAGAATTGCTAGAAATGAGGGTGAGGAAATACATGATAGCATATAGAACAGCATATAGAGGTTGGCAAGTTCCTTCTACACAGGGCCAGAGGCCTTGCGACTGCCAGCATTTCCAAAGGACTTATTGCTCTGCCTCCATTGAGGTGACTGATGAAGCCTTCACCAAAATGGCCACCCAAAGAGACAGCATGTGCTTTGTCTCTCTCATGTGCCAGATAAACATATATTTTGTGGGGACCTTGGGCTAGATGATTTTGGGTAGCAGCTATGTCTGACCCATGACATAGGTTGCTGCCTCTGAATTACAATGTGAAATGTAGCGATTTTTCCCAGAAAGCAAATAACAAATGGGTCTATTTAAACTCTGGGCGTGATCTAACAATTGATGATTTTGGAGCCAAATCAGCCAGTTCAGTGAGACCCAGATGGAGACTGTAATTTGATGGGAAGATATAATATAGATACATAAATATAGCCCTGCATCAAGAGGAGAATGAATTTGGAAATACGTTTGGCTTAGCCAATCAAAATTTGTAGATTTTGTAATGTATATTTGTCAAAATATGCAATTAAACTCTGATTTCTGGTCAGCCTTATAGCATAAAAATATATTCTAGAAGGGTAATAATATTAGTACTTTGCAGTATCTTGAAGACTATTGATTTATGGTGCCATAAATTTCTCTGTATTACAACTGTCTCATAAACAATACTAACCAGAATTTCATTTAATTTCTATAGGAGCTGTTGGATGACCTCTGGGCATTCCTAAGGGTCAAATGGAAGGAGCTAAGTTCTTCATTCATTAATGAACAGCAGTATGAATCTTTGTTACAAGGATCTGTAGAGCTCATAGATCTTGGGAAAAAGAAACTTGCTCATGTTTCAAAGCTGAAAATTACCAGTCGATCTGATTTAGATTTACACTTACAAAATCATAAGGTATAGACCTCTGCTTAAATTACACTTAAAAATATTTTTCCATACCAGGAAATCATTGATATGTTCACAGAATACACAATGAATAAACTACACAATGGCTTAATGTGATTTTATTGATTTAAAAGTTATATAGTCATCCACATTATAGCAAATTCTGGTTGACTCCCAATCCTCTCATCCTGCTAAGATTCTAACTGATATCCCACCACAAACTATAGTTTTAGCCTACTCTAGCATAGAATGAACCTAGCCAGTAAAATCATGGCAACAGTGAGATTCGTGTTCAATTTTATGATATGTTCAGGCACGCATGCATACATGCATTAATTTATTTATTGATTAGAAGGAGATGGCTTCACTCCAAAGCAACAGTGATTCTTGTGTCAAGTGGCATTACATTAGCTCTTGCAGTACTACTATTCATATGAATATAAAATAATAACTTGCATTTAACTATCAAAATAGGGTCTCTGCCTGGGGGAGGGTTGCTAGTTTATGTCATCTTGAGATGAATGGTGCAACAGATGTATTGAAAGTAAGCTGGCACTGCTTAGATGACATTGCTTAGGGAGAAAATTAGGAAACATTATTTATGCTTATTTTTCACTCAGAGCTTTTAATGTAACCTTATCATAAATGAGCAGAAGTATTTTATAGGGAGAGGAGGGGTTGTTGCTGTTATGTGTAATCATATAACATCTATCCCGGGCTATAATTACTCTGCTGGAAATAAAATATAGCCTTGGTAATGAATATGAAAATTTATAGACTGCCCAGGAGAAAGTTTGAATAAACATGAGTTGATTCCTACTTAATTTTGTTGACTGTAAACATAGGGGAAACAGTTACTTCTATTTTGCATCAAATTAAGAAGGCTGTAATTGTTTGCATGTTGCATATGGAAATACCTCCTATTTAAAATATTAAGAGAAGTATAGTTTGATTACTTGACTAAATAATTACATTTGGGATCCAAAGAGATTTTTTCATATAAATAGCAGTGTTTCTCCAGAATTTTTAGAATTAGTGTTTGATGGGAAGGAAATCCTCCAAATTTCATTTTGGATTCAATTATATAAAGAAATCAAGTTCTTTAAAAAGATGAGAAATAACTTGCTTTGTTCCAAATTAGATTTTAAATTCAACTGTGTTACCCGAATAACATTATAAGTTGTAGCATAAGGTCCAATGCTTCTACCAATTTTTCCTCCGCTCTTATCCAGATGCCCTGCACCAACTTATCCTTCAGTTTCTGTGTCCATTTTCTTCCATTTTCTTTTGAGTATACGCCAATGAGTAGGATAAGGGAAGCATGGTATATGAAGCAGGAAACGGCCATATAAAGATGAATAATAAAATAAATTAACATAATTTTAGCATTGAGTCAAATCTCAGTAGTTTTGGAAAAGGGATTCAAAAAGACCTCTTTTAAGGAGATAGCATAAGTCTTCCCACTTTCCCTGGATTTGGGTTTTTTGCATCTTCAGTCTCAGATACAGTATAACTGCAAGCCCAGCCATCAATTGTCTATTTGCTTAGAGAATGGCCAATAACTTACATATTTTGTAATATTTAACATATAGAGAATATTGGCATTCTTAGTTGAGTTGTAACAAATACTATTATTTACCATTTTGCCATTTTTAATGCTGTTAAAATATAGGTCTCTGTGTATTTGTTATATTTGCTGTTGGTAAAAGTTCAAAAGAATCCGAGGATGGGTTTTTGTATTATTGAAACATCCAGAGCAGGTGCATATAGCAGAAACATTTTAACTTTATTTATGCTGTTACAAAACAAGTGTGTTCTTTTTTTAATAATTATTTTGCGGATATAATTATCTGTACTTATGCTCCTTTTCTTTTTTGAACATAGAGCTTTTTCTGTAAACTGAATGGCCATATGCTTCTTGTACAAAAAGTGGCAGATTCAATATTACAAAACAGGGAGAAATACTGGAAGGATATGGTACAGGAGATCAAATCTTTGGAAGAACAAGCTATTCAACATGGAACCCATTTGGAAAAACTTTTACAGGTCAGAGAGTAAAATGAAACAATGTGAAATAGGTTCAGACAAGTCTGTTCCATTCAGCTTCTAACACAGAGGTTGAGTGAGAGTACAATAATTTTAAATAATTTTACATTCATTAGGAATTTATCCAACCTCAAAACTGGCTTGATACTGCTATAGCACAAGACTTTGGGCTGATTCAGCAGGGCTCTTTTCAATGAGTGATAAAATTAAAAATATTTTTGTACTTGTATACCCATTAAATAATCTATCATGTTGAGATTCAAGGTCATATTTGTAATGGAAGAATAGAATACATTTGTTTATGATGGATACAGCAGCCTTCCCAATTTGGCACCTTTATGATATATCAGACCAAAACTCCCATCACCCCCCAGCCAGTATAAATTTGTACACGTTTGGAAGAAATCGATTGAAGAAAATTATTTTATACAACTCTAATGTTTACTACTTAATTTTTTTGGATCTACTAACAATGTTCTTCATCTTACAGGACTGGATAGTATTTGATGAGAGCTACATTTCATTGTGCCAGAAGCTGGAGGCACTTTTACCCACAGTGCCTTTTGTGGCTTTAGTGGAAGAGACAGAAGAAAGAGCAATGGAAAGGATTCAGTTCCTCCAGGTATTGACTTTACTCTAGCTCAGGCATGTCAAACGCGCAACGTCACGTGACGTCACACGACATATCGTGACTTTTTCCCTATTGCCGGCAATGGAGTGGGTGCGGTTTTGGCGTGACACATCCAGCCCATGGGCCGGCAGTTTGACATGCCTGCTCTAGCTTCTGTAATTTCCATTGTAACTATAGTCGTTATTGAATGATAGACAGTATAAGAGCTAAATACTTGAGTAATGTTTCCTCTTTTTGTAATTAAGGAATTGAAGGCTAAACATGTCTTTAGAAACTTTACTTTGTCATTTCATGTAGTTCCATTTAAGAAGGCCGTTGACAAGCTGGAGTATGTCTTGCGGACAGCATCAAGATGATTAGGGGCTGGGAGGAATGGTTAGATATGTTTGACCTGAAGAGAAGACTGGAGAGTTGTCTTCTAATTTCTGAAGTGCTGTCATGTGACAAATGGTTCAGAGTTGTTAAAGAAGGCGAGACAAAAGAGGTTTAAATGACAACAAGGTAGAATTTAGTTGGACATCAGGACAAATTTTGTGATGGAGGGAACTATTCAATAGTGGAATAGAAACTGGTGGTCTCTGCTGGAGGTTTTTAAACTGACTCTGGATGGCCAGAGATCAAGCTTGATGTAATAATATAATCCTGCACTGGGCCTTAGGGTGGTTTAGACTTTAGAGCAGGGGTGTCAAACTGCCGGCCCATGGGCCGGATGCGTCATCCGGAAGCTGCGCCCACCCCATTGCCGACAACAGCAAAACCGTCCCGATACGTTGCGTGTCGTCATGTGACGTCGCGAGTTTGACATGTCTGCTTTAGAGGATCTCCAAAGTCACTTTCAACCCTTACATTCTGTGATCCACAGAAAAACTTGACACTCTTCACACCAGTTAGGCATTGAGTCAGAAGATGGTAGATGTAAAACAGTTATCTTGAGAGAAATAAACAAGCCAGCAAATATGTACAGTTCCCCCTTGAGAAAGTGAAAAAAAAATCTAAATAGAATAAAATAAAGAGAGAGATATGGGAGACCTCATTTTTTCCCCAATTAATGCTCGTGCAAAGAATTATAAAATTGCAATTATAAAATGTGTTGATTGCCAAATTTGATTAAATGAACACTGAATCATAAATAGATTTGCCTTTTTGTGGAAAGGGAAATAAATTAGTAATAATGTGATCTGTTACTTTTCATTTATAATTTTATATAATTTCTTAGGAAATCAAAAAGGACATTGAAGGGGAACAGGCTAGATATTATCAAATAGTGAAAGAAGGGAAGAATTTGACAGGACTTCTGAGCTGCCCTGAATTGCAATCCAAGATTGAGAAGCTAGAACATCAGTGGGTATCTTTTTCCCAAAGAGTTGATCATGAACTACAAAGACTTGAGACATTGCACAAACTCTTGTCCAGGTAGGATTTACGTTTCCTTGCTTTTGAAGGTCAGCTTCCCTCATCTGGTATTCTCAATTCACATAATTCCCTAGCAATCATGTTCAAAATCTGAAAATGACAAGTTGGGAAGAGTACACCAGTTCTAAAAAAAAACCCCACATAATAATAAACAATATGATAAATAAATACTAAATATAAAATGGCTACCGAGCACCTAACATCAACGAGACTCATACTTAGATGGCCCCTAATGTTTGGGGGAAGAGCCAGGCCATTAACAGTTTTCCTTAAGATGAGAGGAATTAGGCCTTGTCATATATTGGGTGGGGGATCATTCCAGAGAATGGGGCAACCACAGAAAAGGAACACTTCCTAAGTCCCATAGGATGACAACATTTGAAAAAGAGAATATGGAGCATGCCCTCCCTGTGGGAGTATGTTCTTGGCAGAAGGCAATACTTCAGGTAATCTAACCTTATGCCATGCAGAGCTTTATAAGTAATAAGCAGCACCTTGAATCATACCCCGAAGCCTATCATAAGACAATGCAGCTTGTGGAGTATGGTGTTATATAGACTTAAAGAGATGTGCCCATAACTACTCATGCTGTTGCATTCTGGGCCAATTGAAGCTTTCGGATAGCAATAGCCCAGTCAGAAGGTTATCAAGGTGAATAACCATAACCAGGACCTCCTGTCCAGGATTGGGTGCAACTGGCATACAAGAATATCTGATGTTACTCCGTTGTTAACAGATAGCATATAGGAAGTTGATTTCTTTTTCTTAAAAAAGAAACAGAGGAGAAGTAACCAAGTTATCTAAAGAGCGAGGAGAGGGTAGACATTTTATATTTTCATTGCTTTCATATAGCAATGAAACCTATACTCCTTCTGATATAGCCCCCAAATTCCATCTGCCAGGATGCTCATTAATTTCTGCTGATTATTAACTGCCTTATAGGTTACCAGCCAGAAACATGGTTGTTTGAGAGGTCTGTAGTGACATTGATTCTAGTTCCTGATTTGTTTTCTTTTGTTTTTCCTGAAGTTACAACAAAGACTCAAAGGAGCTCAATGTCTGGTTGGAATCTGCTGAGCAAAATGTGAACTATTGGAAGGAGCAGTCTCTCAATGCATCTCAGGACCAGAACATTGTCAGGAACCATATTCAGAGTTTGCTTGTAAGTTAGACAGTGTTTATGTAGCAGAGACTGATGTAAAAAATACGAGGACAGTCTTTCCATCTAATTTTGTACATTGCCCCCAATGTAGGCCAATCATCTCTCTAATCTAGAGAGCTCAATGCCTATTAGTCAAAGATTTTTTATTTATTTTAACTTTTGTTGCTTGGAGCCATTAATAAACATACAGTATTCTCTATATATTTATCTAATGCTATTTTGTGAGCCCATCTTCAAACTCATTATACTTCCTTTTCTAATCAGTCTCCCAGGATAAGGCCTGGTTCACTGCATGACACTCCAAAGGCAAGAATTACAGACTATACCAGGGGTAGTCAACCTTGGCTCTTTTATGACTCGTGGACTTCAACTCCCAGAATTCCTGAGCCAGCTGTGCTGGCTCAGGAATTCTGGGAGTTGAAGTCCACGAGTCATAAAAGAGCCATGGTTGACTACCCCTGGACTATACTAATGTGATTTGTTTAGCATGGTTTGTTAATGTTTGGTGAATAACTCTATTGTATTTTATGGTAATAAATTACAGTGCAAAATCATGATTTGTTACTGACTATAGTTATGACTTTGCCTGATTTTGGTATGCAGAGATGAAGGAATTATTTATAATTTTCTGACTTATTCCTGATTTGGTATTACAGTATGTCTCACGCAAACCTCTAATCAAATCACAAAGATGCAAGGCAAATGAGAGAAAATAAAGGGAGATTTTTCCAAGTCAGTCATAATTGTTTGCCAGTCTGACTGTTCAAAAAATTGAGCTTAAAACAAACATTGGCTTAATGTGATATTTGAATGTAGCCTCAAAGCCCTATTTACTGAGTCAAGCCTTCTACAGTTTTCTTCAACGCCCCCACCATCACCACCATTACCTTTACAGATAGCAGGTGCATTCTCTTTTATGTAGCTGGTTGTGTCATTCACAACCAGAATATGGGAATGAGTTATATTGTAATCTATCCAGACAAGAATCATTTATTAATTTAAGGTCTAAGTATAATTACTGCTGTTACATTTTTATGTTTTAGCCCTCATTCTTGCAATTATCTTTGACTTCGTCATCTGAATGACTTTCTCATCTCGCTTCCATTTGGTCCCTACTACCATTAGTCACCTATCTGTCCAGAGGGCAAACAAAAATATCATATGTAAATGGCAAATGTCAATACAGAAAGTTTGAACCTGGGTCTAATTGACCTAAGTGTACTTTTCCATCTAAACCTTCAGCACTGTTTTTGGGTGCTCTAAAATGTAAAATATAAAGAATAAACTATGTTGAGCAAAGGTTTGGACTTTGGCCTCCTCAGTCTATTCCCAGCTCTGTCCAGGATACCTAATTAGTGCTTGGCTTATTCTTAAAAAGTGAAAAAATGAAAAAAGGAGAACAATATTTTATCTCAGTTTAAAATCATTTCATAATTTAATATACTGTAATTAACAAACTTTCTTAACATTTTTATGCACACCATATTTTATGATTTTGTATGATTCTTCAGGAATTCTTTAAAGAAGTCGATGATAAATCTTCCTTGAAATCTTCGGTCATAAGTAGTGGAAATCAACTGTTGCTTATTAAGGAATCTGATGATGCAAAGTTGCGCTCAGCTTTGGCAGACTATGAGCAGAGATGGAGTGACCTTGTTGTTCAATTACCAACCATCCAAGAGAAGTTTCACCAGGTAAAAAGGAATTCATCAGCAAAGCTACTAGGCATGAATAACTTTGAAGACTCCCATAGTTATTAATTGCATACTGCTGGACATTACATATCTCTGCCATTTCTCTGTTTAAAAAGTCTTATCTACTGTATCTCCTTTATGGTGAATCCATCATTGTGAAGTATTAAATACTACTTTGTTGCCATTCTTGCTTGTAATGCTGATTACAAGCATTTGTATAAAACTCAAGGATGTTGATCCACAATTGCCCCACTAAAAAGTTTGATTGAAATTGCCCAATATTGTTTTTTATCTTTGACTTGAAATAGCAAATGTCTCAGCAGTTTAAAACATACTAAATAACCCATAATCCCTTCAATCGTCATTTCAGAGATATTTCCTTACCAGATTTCTCAATGTCTTCAGTAATGATAGATTGCCTTCACTGACAAGTTCTTAAAAAGTCAGGAAGATATTCAGAGATGTATCTGCCTTGAAAATAGTCCATGTTGAATGGTATTGCACAGTCAAACATCAGCAGCTGAACAGCAGGAAATGCTTTATGACATTTGGCATTATGTCCTAAAGTGTTTTATGATTATTTTTATGTCATAAAATGTTTTACAAAATTTGCCCAATTTCAATTTCGTGGGAGCCATGGGTTCTTACACATTCTGTACGTTAGTCCATGAGCCTTGTTTCAAAAATTGTTGCCTACAGTGCATTATTTGGCCCAGTTAAAAATTACACACAGGAGAGTTTCGCATACAATTCAGGTATAGTTGTGGGAGAAGAAGGTAAGATAGATAGATAGATAGATAGATAGATAGATAGATAGATAGATAGATAGATAGATAGATAGATAGATAGATAGATAGATAGATAGATGATAGATAGATAGATAGATAACCTTTATTGTCATTTTTTATTGTGGGCACAATGGCACACATTAAAAATGAAATTTAGTTGCTTGCTCTCAAAGATGACACGTGTATCATAATGTCATCATGTGAATGACATTCTTTTTACATTTAAATGACTCAGACATGATGACTTCATGACATAAATGCATTATTTCCACAATAATATGATGATGCAGACTTTATTTTGACATCATTGTAGCAACCTAGAACTAAGGAGAAACTTCCTGACAGTTAGAACAATTAACCAGTGGAACAACCTACCTCTAGAAGCGGTGAATGCTCCAACACTGGAAGTTTTTAAGAAGAGACTGGACAGCCATTTGTCCGAAATGGGTATAGGATTTCCTGTCTGAACAAGGGGTTGGACTAGATGACCTCCAAGGTCCCTTCCAACTTTATTATTGTTGTTGTTATTGTTACAGATGCCACTGTGTATTTGTAAACTTTGTGCCCCCTTTTTAACTTGTGAACATTAGCAACAATTTGCTAAGAATAAAGTGAACCGAGCTGAAGGGGATGTCTACAACACAGTAAAAAATGACTGAGAATGAGATAAAAATCTGGAGCATTTCTGACTTGTAAATATTCTTCTGCTGACAAATTTGACTACTGTTAGCTCTAATATTGTTATATAATAATAGTAATAGTCTATAGTCACTGGATTATTTTTAGAAGCCCTATAGCAAGAGAATTCTGTCCTTTTTTTACCAATACACTGAGCAGGGAGACAAAAGAAAGAGGCAGCGGTTGCACTAAATGAGAGAAAAGTGAGTGCTTCCATTTCCCATAACCTACAATACTCAACAGAGAGCCCAAAAGGAATATCTTAGAAAATACATTAAATTTTGTTCCTTAAAAAAAAACCAAGTATAATGGTGTAATTTTCTAACAGCTCCAGATGGCAAAATTGCCATCTTATGAAGCCATCACAGAACTGAATGCCTGGATGAATTGCATTGATCAGCAAAGAAGAGATGAGGTTGTAATTAATTTGCAAAGTTCTGCTAGCTTGAAAGGCCTTCTTAGGAGATACAAGGTAAGTGAGACACTATAAATTCATGATGTCTAGAAATGGTTTCATTTCCTTTGGGCAGAAAATAAAATAAAATATATCCAAACAAGGAATCATACTACATGGTCTGTATGAGTCAACTGAGATCAAGAGAAAGAGAACTAAAATAATCTCCTCTATATCCTTAGGGAATGAGTGCACATTCTTGCATCATCAATTTGGTCCACCATGTAGAGTCAATTGTGTGAGCTGGGCCTCTATATAAATTCCATCTGCCTGCCTGCCTGCCTGCCTGCCTGCTTGCCTGCCTGCCTGCCTGCCTGCCTGCCTGCCTGCCTGCCTGCCTGCCTGCCTGCCTGCCTATCTATCTATCTATCTATCTATCTATCTATCTATCTATCTATCTATCTACCATCCATCCATCCATCCATCCATCCATCCATCCATCCATCCATCCATCCATCCATTATTGTCTACTTCAACTTCTTATTTTCCCCTTACCTATCATCCTACCTCACTGGGTGTCCAGATAGCAATTAGCAGGTGTCTGTCAGATTTATCTGTATGAGTTTGTGGGAAGGTGAGATATTAATATTCGTATGTCAAATATTTATTCATTTCCAAGACAGATTGATATGCAGTAGGTAAAATCAGACTTCTAAATATCTGGAATCTCTATGCAATGTTTTCGAGTTTTCTTTCCACTTCTAGAGGTCTATTATACAGCTATTATACAGCTGTGGTAAGATAGGGGCCTATACATCTGTCAAAATGTTGTGGGTTTTTTTTCACAGAAGGCTTTTGAGCCTTTCATTTTGTCTATATGACCAAATGCTTTTTTCTTTTGGAGATTTTCTTTATTTAATTCACTAATATTATCATGCAAATAAAGCTAAACAGGTACACACAATTATTTGTCAGTGTCTTTAAAAGGTATCATTGTTTTATGGATCACATATAAGAGGAAAATGAATTGGGAGAAGAAGAAGAAAGCACACTTAAGCATACTTACAAAATCCTTATAGGAATCCTTGTCTCTCAGAGAGGAGATTGCATCCAGCAATATATTGGCAGCAATATAGAAAACTTTCCCTTTGCTTCTCCCAGGATGTTTTTTTTTTCAACCGAATTCACAATCTCTTCCTAATTTGATGCCTTTACATATGTATTGTACTACAACTTTCATCGCCCCCACCAAAATGATCATTATAGGCAGTTACACTTTTTAAGTGCCCATGATCATTATGCTCTTTAACTATGAGCAAGGGACTTGGCCGTACAATTATGAGTTATTATAACTCTGTGCATCTATCCTGTTGTCACAGCAGAAACAGTTATAAAGGAACAAAACTGTATTTGCTGCATAGAAAACATGCTTTTTTTTTGACAGTTGTATATTACGTTTCTAGGAATATGTGATGGAAATGAACTTTAAACAATGGATAGTTGATTATGTGAACCAGTCACTACTACAGTTGACACCTTGTGATGTTGAAAGCAAGCGTTATGAGAGGACTTCATTTGCAGAATGTCTCGGAGAATTGAATATGAATTGGCATCATTTGCAAGGGACTTTGAATGAAAAGGTTTGAATGTCCTTTAAAACCTTTTGCAGAGAATGTGAGTCAACTTCAGATGTGCCTAGTGGAAGATCACCCATCCACTACAGCTTCATTGCTTTGTTCTCTGTGCTGCAGAGAACTCTTCAGAATGGGAGAGGGGTCCTGCTTGGAAAGACTGCAGTTGGAGAAATCAGGTCCATGCAAGTCGTCTCCACACCCAATTTGTGATTTGTCTACATTCACTGCTGCTCACTGGACAGGTGGCCTTCCTGTCCCATCTGCAAGGTCTGATGCTATTCAGATCTGCATCAATGATTAGCTAGCAAACAAGGATTCTCCAGGCAGATCCAAAGCCAGCAGGAACAAAAGCAAACATAGATTTAGTTCTCATTTACCATCTCTAATCCATAGACCTCAGTAAGCCTGCCTTATACCCATTTTGGTTTATATTGCCCCACTGTCACAGCAGCCAGTCAAAGGATAGGAATAATACAATGACAACACAACCACGTTCTCTTTACATTCCCAATTAAGTACAGTAGATTGTTCGTTAAAGTTGCTATTTGGAGGTGGTCTGAAGCTTTCTTCTATTATATCTGAGTCCAGAAACTCTGCTGCAACAATAAATTAAAATATGAGGTGCTTCCTAGAAAATGAGGAAAATATTCTTCTGTGCTTATCGCCATAAACTAAAAACAGGTCTCCTTCCTAAATTTTGCAAATAATTACAAATTGTCCTCTATACAGATTAAGGAGTTGGAGCACATTTTGGAATCTGTTGTTAAAAATGAAAACAAAGCACAATCCTTGGGCAGCTGGCTAGAAGCACAAAGCAGAAGGCTAGAACATTTGAAGAACCCAGCAAGTTCTGTTCTTGCACAGGGCACATTAAAAGACTGCAAGGTAAATGCTCATTATTTCATTATATTTGAAATGTCAAGTTCATTTTGTTGATGATCTTCAACATTTTAATCCTATCTTTCTTCCTATATGTTCAGGACAAAATATGTGAATTTATCCTTCAAATTAAAAAATAACACAATAATTGTCCACAACCATTAATAAATGCAATCCATTCAAATCTGACCTAATAAAAACAGGTCACAATGGAAAACAAAGGAGGGAAATAAACTCAGAGATCTGCCCATATCTGCCTATAGAATGGGCCCTCAGGGAGACAGTTTGGTGAAGAAAAAAAAACCCTAAAAAATAATTGATTGTAGAACTGCCTATCAAAAGGGTCTGTCCTGTTTTTCTCCCTGATGTAGCTGTAAATGCCCTCCTGGATGGCATGCGCCAGGGAAAAGATGCAGGAAATGGAACTTCTTTCTCCTGGGGCCTTCCTTAGCTTCCAGTAGAATTAATTAGGGTCTTTTTTGACTCAGATGGAACTGGAGGGCAGATGGATCTACAGAATCATCTTGTTCCACATGTTATTTAAGCTCCTGAATGGAGTTATACAGAGGTTTGTAGAAGAACTAGTATGCTGCTAATACATTATTCTGCTTCTCTTATATTTAAGAATGTAAGGATATAAAAAGAGCCCTACTGGATCAGACCAAAGACCAGTTTTGTCTTTCACATTCTGGCCAGGCAGAAGCATATACAAAAGTCCCAAATTCCCATGACTATTGCGAATGCTGGGTAATCTAGACTTTTCAAGAATAGTAACTATTGATAGCAATACTTTTAATGAATTTGTTTTAACCTCCTTTAGGTTGGTGGCTGTCACATCATCCTAGTCCAGTAGCTTATCTTGTATATTACATTGGCTTTCTCTGAGCAGCTCTGTGGGTCATTGACGAAACCATAGAGACTTTCTCATGCAAAACCTGGAGCAAAAATTCTTTTGACCCTAATACATCTAGAGGATACCATGTTGAGGAAGATTGTATTATTCTCAAAATAATAGTGGCAAATCATATTTGCTATGTCTTTCTTGACTCCTTCCTCTTACAAGGTGCAACGTTTATTTTTTGCTTTATTGCTATGGTTACCCCATTCCTCTACTATAGTCAAACTGAAAAGTAACAGTAATTTTGCTATTTATTCTCTGCAATGTTTTATTGAGCTCTGGAGCATCTTCATTTTTCTAGCTGAGAGATGGAGATTCATTCCAACTAGCCAGTAAGAAGCTTTGTAAATAAATAAGAGACAGATTGAAACTCTCTTAGTGAGCAGGTACACACACCAGGGGATAATAGAAGGGAAACCGAGAAGTTAAATAAAACCAAGAAGAATTTTTCAAGATTTTAGAAGAAAACTTTACAAATGAACAAGAGATATTTCCCACCTCAAATCTTAGCCACATTTATAAATAAGCATACAGTATATATCACAGTTTATATTAAAAAAAGTAAGATCATGGCCTACGTGAATTACTTAATTTGGATTTTGTACTTAATTTACATAAAAAATACTGCTGTTTCTGATTGGGGGGACAAGTATCATGCAAACATTCTTCTAGTATTATTCTTTGCTAATAAAATTATGTACATAGCTTGTGTAACTTAGATTTCTTAATGCCAGATGAAATCAAAAGGTATCTAAACTTTGCAGATGCAGATCCCTGCCTTAAAGATCTCTAATGACACCAGTGTTTTTTTTAGCTTGCTCATAAATTATCTTCATGCAAATTTGAATATAATAATAAAATACTAAATAATAAAAGAGTGATTGTGGAGATATATATATAAGGAGCTCATTACACTGAATTAACAGTCACCTAAGTGTCAGTTAAGTTGTACTTTGCAGCTAAACCTCCCCTTCCCCTGGATTTCGTATAAGCTGAGCTGTCTATATCTAATCTGGAAAAATATTTAAAGATAAATATTTAAAGATAAATATTTAAAGATAAATATTTAAAATTATTTAAAGATAAATAAGATTTTTAAATCAGTGTTCAGTATGAAAAAGGCAAATTCCGTGTTAGGGATTATTAGGAAAAGATTGAAAATAAAATTGGTAATGCTGAAATCCCTTTATACAAATCCACAATCTGTCTCCATTTGGAACACTGTGCATGCATTTGGAAAGGATATAACTTAATTGGAAAAAAGTACAAAAAGCTAAGTTATTGATGGCCTACCTTATGACAAAACACTGCCTGGAACTCTTCAGGTTAGAGAAAAAGATGCTGAGACAGGAGGTATATGATCAAGGTATACAAAGCCTAAAGAAAATGGATATGTAAACAAAACTTGTCTCTTTCTCAAAACAGTGAGACCAGGACCTATTCAATGAAACAAACTGGAAAAGATTTAGAACAGGCAAAAGAAAGCACTTATTGATGCAATGCATTATTAATCTGTAGAATTACATGGTATTGACCCGGTATGTTACACAGTTTTAATGGTGGATTGGATACATACATTCATACATACATACTTTTATATCTATATCATCTGTATATCTACTATATATCTCCATACCTTTATATCTGTCTGTCTGTCTGATCAGCATGTCTCCAAATACAAAATGTAGGGGACAGTGATAGAAAAGAGGTATGTCTTCATCTCCTGTTTATAAGATATCTGGCTAGCAACTGAGAAATAAAAGAGTGGATTACTATGAGACCTGTTTTGATCCAATTGGGCTATGCTTATATTGTTCTTAAGTATTTAACAAAAACTTCTGTTCCATTTAATTTACCATATTACTTGGCATTGATCTTTAGAAAATATGCCCTATTATATTCTAATGTTAAATGTTGATTTTTTTTCCTAAATTGTATTTCAAGAATAATATCTTTCTTCTTATGCCTATTTATCAGGTGTTAGAATATCAGCTTCCTATGAAGTCTAAGGAAGTGGATCAACTGAAAAACAATCCCACAGTTTTAGAGGATTGTGCTGATTCTGCCAAGAAAATAGCATTCACAACCACCGATTTGGATGGAATGAGAATTAGCATTATCAATCAGGTTGTTATCTTGATTTTTGGCTATGTATAAGAATTAGTGGCTTCTTAAATGTCACCCAGTGATTTCTTTCCAAGCTAGGATTTGAAACCATTGTACATAACGATAGGGTCCTTGAAGGCAACATGAGATATCTATATTCTGAAAATATGTATAAAGAAAACAAAAATAGATAAGTACAATGTATAGTTTGGACTGAAGACTCTCAGGTTTTTGTGTGCAGTTCAGTCTTTTGTATGAATAGTTCTGCTGTCTGTCTGCAATCATTTGGATTCAAAAGTATCGCCCAATCTTTCACTTATATCTTATATCTGAAATGCTCTCTTCTACTTAAACAAACTTCTGTTTAAGAGAAAGTTAATGTGTAAATGTTCATAGATGATTGCAGATGTTGTTATAGTGGGTTCTGAAAGAAAAAGGGTATTTCCTTGCTCATAATTAAAAGCAGTTTTCATTCCCACTCACATGTTCAGAATTGAGTGGGTGATTTTCTTTTAAGATGGTTAGAAATTAAAACTATGATTGTTTCTGTGAAATATATGTACTATCCTACTAGATCTCACAAATTTAAATTAATCAAGAAGTCAACTTAGATGACCTAACATAGAAGCTTGAAATATGTTGCATTTTACTATCTTTTCTCCTTTAGTGACCAGGCAGAAATTAACCAACAATAAATGGGAGCCAGGGAAGATCCATTGCTCCTTAGAAACTGGGACTTAAATATATTTTCTCTAATACTGTAAAAGAACATCAGTTATTTTTATTGTGATCAAAGACCAACCAGTACAATCTAATAGTGAAGTTAATGATATGTCATCATGAATAGCTGCTACTGATTGTTTATCCTCCATAAAAGTGCCTGATTGTTTTGGCATTTCTTAGTTGATGGTTATCTCCACTGCTCAGGGCAGTGAATTCCAGAAGATATTATAGATTCTCTGGGGGATAAAAAAGACTTGATCCTCCTATTAGTTCATTGGATGACCTGAGGTTCCAGTAGAACTAAAAGACTAAAGGAGTAAATGCTATGCTCAGCTTCTATATTCCATATCTGATTTTAAAAGCTTTCAGAATAATAGGCCAATAAGTAAATAACAAAACTTTTGTGGCTGTTGGATATTTTTGACAGATGGCTAAATTTATAAGTTTTGACATGTCCTAAAAGTCAATCTTTACTGAGATCTCTGTTACAAGAGAACATAATCCACTACGGACCTTCTGTAACTGGAAAAGTCAAAAGATAGCAGATTTTGTCTAGCACATCATGAAATGTGAAAAGCATTATGACATCAGACTATTTGCATGTGGGCTATCCAGGCAAAAGTGAAATATGAAACCCAGATTCTATCTCCAAATTCAGCCATTAATTCATTATACTAGGTATAATAACTGCCAAAGTTCTGTAGATGCTGCTTAGCTGTAGATAGTTTATAACAAATCTTTGAAATAATAGAAACCCAAACCTGTTTAATAGCAATTTTCAGCTTTCACGGAATAAGAACTTGCAGCTGAGTTGTCTATTCTTTCTGCAGTTTAAAACTCTGCAGGCATTTCTGAATTTGTGAGTTTTCCTGCTGAGATGTCAGCATTCAAGAGAGTGAAACCAGTGCATTTATTCCTGTACGTCTTCCTCTAACCAAGCATGCTGGAATGAACTCTACAAGCACAACAGGACTTTGTCCTCAAATTAAATTGATAATGAAAATTATTCTAATACTTCAGTCTCTTATACAGATCAGTGATTTTTTTCCTTGAACATTTTATTTGAAGCATGTACTAGTACTCCTGAAACCATTTATACATTACATTATTAAATAAATACTTAGAGGGTTTTTTTATCCAGCGTGTATTAGAAAGAAAATGATGTAATAAAAAAACAACAGGGGGTATCTCTTGAGCAGTTTTCAAATGTCCTAGTAAGTAATTTCATATACATCCTTTTTAAGCACAGGCTTGTATGTTTGCAGGTTGCACAGCTGAAGTCTTCTACAGAGTCTGCTTTAGAGTGCTGGAAGAGTTATGATGAAGCTTGGGATGAAATCAGGCTGATGCTTGCAAATGCTGTGTATTGCCTGGAGCATAGCAAGAATCCTTTCATTACAGTGATGTCACTGAAAAAGCAAGTGGAAGATCTCCAGGTATGTTTCACAAAGACCAATGTGTTGAGCTCCATGGTTCCACAGTATTCCTTCTTAAAAATAAGGAGCTGCTCTAGATATTAGTGCCAAATGAGTATGTGGCACATGATTGAATCATAACAGATATCCTGGGCCCGTATGCTGTTCCTCCCACATACTGTATTTCTCCAGTTTGAAATGAAATAGCAGATTGATTTATGCAAGCCCTAAAAACCAGAGAATGAACATCAAGAACAAACCCTGGTGTTTGATCCTGCTTGGTGTAGAAAGCATAAATCATGATTTTACAGATGAAATAAACCAACCAACTACAATTTCCTCCAACTTGGGAAAAGAGAAAACGATGTATAATAAGCAATATGAGAGGGAGCATGAACCAGCATCCTTCAGGGTTTATCTGTAGAGAGCTCTGGAGAATTAATCTGTAATGAGAATTGTACTCCATTGGTCTCAGGACTATCAGCACATATTCTTTGTAAAAAGTTAGTGAGTTTTCTCACTATGTTTCTAAGCCCCAAAGGATCAGGAGGTGAGAGGATGTTTCTGTTTTCCAAGCCTCCTGAAAGGAAGAGTGAGTCTGGAAGACACCCCCCCCCACACACACACACACCTTTTGCCAATCTAGAAAAGCATGTTTGCCAGTGGCAACCTTGTCACAACTCACATCCTGCTAAATTGGTGAAAATATGCTGTTTTAGAAGGATGGATATAAAGTAGCGTACCAATAGCCATCTCCTCAAGCATCATCACATTTGTAACTAATTAAGTGGCATTTCTTTCCACAGTCTCTTCAAGATAAAGCTGAGGGAAACAAAGAAATCTGGGCTAGGCTCCAGACTGCTGCTGATAACCTGAAGAAAGTGTGTGATCCCTCATTCTCGGAGATTATTGAACAAAAACACAAAGAGGCATGCACAAGGTACAATGCTTTTTTTTTTCTTCCTTTCACCATTTAGAAGTTTGACTTCAAAAAATTATTTCTGGTAAATACAATTGCAGTTATTACCGGCAGACATAAGATACTGCTTAATTTATATAGGAGATCAATAGAATGGTTTTAAATTGGTCATCCTTATCTTTTAGGGACAAAGTGATTGTGTGAATTACTTTAGTTTGCTCTGCACATTGGACACTGTTGTACTGATTACAGCTATTTATCTAATTTTTGCAATAATAGCCTTCCTGGTCAGAAAAATAAGAAAATGTAAAAAAAGAGAGAAAGGATCTGGTGGTACCTTAAACTAAGGATTTAGTCTACCACCATTGTTCTAATTCCAAATAGAAATACTGCCGCCGCAGCATTGGACC